GAGTCTAGGATTTGGGAAAATAGGAGTTTCCTCTTTGATTCTGGTACAACTGAACATGAACAAGACGGCCCAGCACCAGAGGTGGAAGGCTGAGGGTCGTCTGGGTTTTCCTCACTATTACCGATATTATGGTCATTAGTTTCGGTCAAAACCTCACCAAAACCTTGAAACTCATCTTCACTGGCACTTCCATCTATATTAGAACTGTCACTGGGGAACAAAAGTGTCTCAATTCGCCGAGGAGTGAGGAATTTCTTACCGCGAGGCATGGTGGATATTGTGTACTAAGATGGCATTCCCACAATACACCACTGGGTCCCAGATTTTTTTTCTACCGCACACACCGATCACACAGACCCTTCTCTCACATCTAGGCCTACCAGCCTTTTCCTGCGAGATTTGACGGCGCTAGAATTTATGCGTACTAGTACGTCAAAAACCCCTGCGCATAAGCCGTACTAGATGTCCGAAACCCTCTAAGGGTTAAAGGCTCTCCATTTTCATTTACCCCTGGCACCCCAAATTTACCTACTACGTACTCCCTCCACAACACTTTTTCCCACTTTAGCATTAAAATCCCCAACCACAAGTACTCTCACACTTGGTTTAAAACTCCCCAAGCAATTACTCAACATTTCCCAAAATCTCTCTCTCTCCTCTATACTTCTCTCTTCCCCAGGTGCATAAATGCTTACTATAACCCACTTCTCACATCCAACCTTTATTTTACTCCACATAATCGTTGAATTAATACATTTATAGTCCCTGTTTTCCTGCCAGAGCTTATCCTTCAACATTATTGCTATTCCTTCTTTAGCTCTAATTCTATTAGAAACCCCTGACCTAATCCCATTTATTCCTCTCCACTGAAACTCACCCACCCCCTTCAGCTTTGTTTCACTTAAAGCCAGGACATCCAGCTTCTTCTCATTCATAACATCCACAATCATCTCTTTCTTATCATTTGCACAACATCCTCGCACATTCAAACTTCCCACTTTGACAATTTTCTACTTCTTATTCTTTTTAGTAATTTTTACAGGAAAAGGGGTTACTAGCCCATTGTTCCCGGCATTTTGGTTTACTTTAACAACACACATGGCTTACGGAGGAAAGATTCTTATTCCACTTCCCCAGGGATAAAATTTTTTTTTATGTTAATCTCCAGGGTTTATTACCTGGACCTCAGCAATGAGAGTGGCTACTCTCACCGCTGAGCAACAGCGACCAAATTGTTCTGTTGTAATATAGTAAACTGTACTAACTGTAAAGCTTTGTTTTTTCTACCTGTCCACTATAAATCTTATTAATTGTAAAATTTTTGGCTACTTCACTTTTGCAATAATGTAAAATAATGAATAATTAAAATTTATGACTCCATAACCAATGTCTTATTATAAGTAGTGTGTCAGCATTAGTATTAGTCTGCCTGAAATGCTGAGACATAATAGTGGCTTTCCTTAGGCTTAACAATATTTTATAACATGCAAATGACACATTATACACTATACAAAGAAATAAAAAACTTGAATTTGACATTGAAGCAGCTGGCAGATAGACTCTGGAGTGTTCAGGTAGAGACTTAGAAATTTTAGGTCCTTTTATGCACACTGAGTTTTGACAAAGATTAGGCCAGACACGGGGAACATCACAGATTTTTGTGTCTAGTATTATGACTGTGAATTGCGTTGCAACTATCAAGATTTTAAGGACAGGATCGATATTAGAATTTATTGTCATCTTCATATAGTATGCACAGCAGTATGCGTGAATCTTACATATATTAACCCTTTGACTGTTTTCGACGTATAAATACGTCTTACGAGCCAATGTTTCTGACGTATATATACTCAATAATTCTAGCGGCTTCAAATCAAGTGGGAGAAAGCTGGTAAGCCCACATGTGAGAGAATGGGTCTGTGTGGTCAGTGTGCACCACATAAACAAAATCCTGCAGCACACATTGCGTAATGAGAAAAAAAAAACTCTGATCGTTTTTTTGGAATAAAACGCCGACTTTGAGGTGTATTTTCGTATAGTATTTATCGTTGTATTCGCGTTTTCATGGTCTTAGGTGATAAAATGGAAAACATATTACAGAAATAGAGATGATTTTCATTACTTTTACGATGAAAACGACCTTGAAACTGAGCTCAAAGTAGCGGAAATGTTCGATTTATACCAATGTTCAAGAGTAAATAAATCACACCACACGTCCAAAACACGTCAACTGGGGAGTCTAATATTCTTTCACTAGTGCACTGATATTATTTATACCATTTTACAATAATGCAGTCGTCTGCATAACAGTAAATTTTGTATTTTTTTGTATGAATAAAAAAATCAAAATAGAAAGCAATAATAATATAAGAGGGGCCTAGAGATGTGACTAATGAACAGAGCATATGTTATTTTAGTGCCACGAATGTCTACCTTGTTTATTCTGGACCCTATTTTGAAATTGGCATCTTTTTATTTTGCGTGAAATTGGCCAAATTGCCAATTCTGACCACCATATTGGGTAGTCCAATTAGTAAATGGGAGGTTTCTTGTACTCAACTGATAGATAAAATGGAGTTCTAAAGAAATAGCTATGAGTTTGGTCAACTGGAACAATGGAATTGGCTGAAAATAGGGCTCAAAGTCGGCGAAATCGCTGATACGCATATGTCGCCGAGACCGCTAACTTCGCGGGAGCATAATTCCACGAGTTTTCGACCAAATTTCGAACTTTTGGTGTCATTACCATCGGGAAAAGATTCTCTATCATTTCATAAGAAAAAATAATTTTTTTTTTTTCCAAAAATTGAGCGACATAGAATGACAGTTTCAGAGAGAGGCCTGAAACAGTTAAAGGGTTAAGAAGGTTTAGGTCTTTGAAGATTGAAGAGTGGTGGAGTGTGTAGTCTAGCAGAAGTCTAGCAGAAGTCTAGCAGTAGTCTAGCAGTAGTCTAGCAGTAGTCTAGCAGTAGTCTGAAGAGTGGTGGAGTGTGTTGTCTAGCAGTAGTCTAGCAGTAGTCTGAAGAGTGGTGGAGTGTGTTGTCTAGTAGTAGTCTAGCAGTAGTCTGAAGAGTGGTGGAGTGTGTTGTCTAGCAGTAGTCTGAAGAGTGGTGGAGTGTGTTGTCTAGCAGTAGTCTAGCAGTAGTCTGAAGAGTGGTGGAGTGTGTTGTCTAGCAGTAGTCTGCAGATCTGAAGAGTGGTGGAGTGTGTTGTCTAGTAGTAGTCTAGCAGTAGTCTGAAGAGTGGTGGAGTGTTGTCTAGCATATCTAGCAGTAGTCTGAAGAGTGGTGGAGTGTGTTGTCTAGCAGTAGTCTAGCAGTAGTCTGAAGAGTGGTGGAGTGTGTTGTCTAGTAGTAGTCTAGCAGTAGTCTGAAGAGTGGTGGAGTGTGTTGTCTAGCAGTAGTCTGAAGAGTGGTGGAGCATAATGTCTGGGAGTAGATTAAAGAGTGGTGGAGTGTGATGTCTGGCAGTAGTCTGAAGAGTGGTGGAGTGTGATGTCTGGCAGTAGTCTGAAGAGTGGTGGAGTGTGATGTCTGGCAGTAGTCTGAAGAGTGGTGGAGTGTATGTCTGGCAGTAGTTGAAGAGTGGTGGAGTGTGATGTCTGGCAGTAGTCTGAAGAGTGGTGGAGTGTGATGTCTGGCAGTAGTCTGAAGAGTGGTGGAGTGTGATGTCTGGCAGTAGACCGAAGAGTGGTGGAGTGTGATGTCCAGCAGTAGACTGAAGAGTGGTGGAGTGTGATGTCTGGCAGTAGACTGAAGAGTGGTGGAGTGTGATGTCTGGCAGTAGACTGAAGAGTGGTGGAGTGTGATGTCTGGCAGCAGACTGAAGAGTAATGGAGCATGTTTTCTAACAGTAGACTGAAGAGTGGTGGAGTGTGTTGTCTAGCAGTAGTTTGAAGAGTGGTGGAGTGTGCTGACTAGCAGTAGACTGAAGAGTGGTGGAGTGTGCTGACTAGCAGTAGACTGAAGAGTGGGGGAGTGTGTTGTCTGGCACTAGACTGAAGAGTGGGGGAGTGTGTTGTCTAGCAGTAGACTAAAGAGTGGGAGAGTGTGCTGTCTGGCAATAGACTGAGTGATCATTTATAAAGCTGCTTTATTTGTTATTACTGGCTTTAGGTAATTTTAAGTAGGGGCTCCCCAGGAACAAAGACCACAGGTAAGGTAGGGATAGATCAGAGAGTAGTATAATGTAAGTAGTGCTGTTTGAGGTACATAGTAACGTATCTTTGAGAGGATGCCGACTGATTTGGATACCTTTTTTTGTATTGCGTTGAACGTGGGTGTTGAATTGCAAGTTGGTGTTGAGGAACAGACATAAGAATTTTCCTTTGTTTAGTTTAGCAAAGGGAGGGCTATTAATATTAATGTTTAGCTGGACATTTGTTGGTCTGTTCCCAAACATCATGTGGAAGGTCTTATCAAAGTTAAGTGTGAGTTTACTGGTAGTTACCCAGAATGATATCTTTAAGAGTTCTTCATTAACAGTATTGTTGAAGGAATTCCTATTAGGGTGAGAGATGACAAAAGCTGTGTCATCAGCAAAGAGAATCTAAGCTGCTTGGATGAATCTGGAAGATTGATATATATGAGGAAAAGTAGAGAACTGAGAACACTGTCCTGCCGGACCACTATGTCGACAGGTCATGTTGACAAGGTTATCCCTTGATAGGGTCACGATGATGTGTTGTGAAAGCCAAAAAATGACAAGGAGGGTAACAAGATTTTTTGAAATGGAAATAATGCCAATGGTTTCACCACTCAAATCAGTTGTTCACACTAGTACTATGGTAAGTACAAATTCTTTAAATTTCAGCATTGAGAAAAAAGGAACTAGATGTAGAAAATTATCCTCCTACTCTGCATCTCAAACTATGAAATGGGCTCTTAAGTGAATATAAAGATTTGCTTAAGACAATTTTTGTTTAATGAACCATTCTTACAATCCCTATTTAAGTGGTTAAGCGAGGGACTGTGCACATCATAAGTACCACACTAACTCACCCGGTATTCATCATTGCGATCAAAACCCAACAAGTGGGAAGGATCTGCAGTATCACTGATGGTAGAGAGTGTCCTGGTGCCTGAAGCGTGTCGTCGACGCCCGCTCTCCAAGCGACTGTGCTCACTACGCCTAGAATACACAACTTGATACTCACAGTTCACAACAAGAAAACCTGGACATTACACAAAAGGGAACAAAATGTTAAAACAAAACTAAGACCTTCAATACAGGAGAAAGTTGCTGTGAAGTACTCTGTACAGCAGCAAGAGTACAGTACATCAAGGTAACAGCCAGAGTACATATCTGGTGTTGGTACATGACTGATGCTAGTACACTGACTGGCGTTAGTACATGACTGGTGTTACTACATGACTGGTGTTAGTACATGACTGGTATTGGTGTTAGTACATGACTGGTGTTAGCATGTGACTGGTGTTAGTACTTGACTGGTGTTAGTACGTGACTGGTGTTTGTACATGATTGGTGTTAGTATGTGATTGATGTTAGTACTTGACTGGTGTTAGTACATGACTGGTGTTAGAATGTGACTGATGTTAGTACATGACTGGTGTTAGTATGTGATTAATGTTAGTACATGACTGGCGTCAGTACGTGACTGATGTTAGTACATGAAAGTGTCAGTATGTGACTGATATTAGTACTTGACTGGTGTTAGTATGTGACTGGTGTTAGTATGTGACTGGTGTTAGTATGTGACTGATGTTAGTATGTGACTGGTGTTAGTACATGGCTGGTGTTGGTGTTAGTACGTGACGGGTGTAGTATGTGGCTGGTGTTAGTACATGACCGGTGTTAGTATATGACTGGTGTTCGTACATGACTGGTGTTAGTACATGAAAGTGTCAGTATGTGACTGATATTAGTACTTGACTGGTGTTAGTATGTGACTGGTGTTAGTATGTGACTGGTGTTAGTATGTGACTGATGTTAGTATGTGACTGGTGTTAGTACATGGCTGGTGTTGGTGTTAGTACGTGACGGGTGTAGTATGTGGCTGGTGTTAGTACATGACCGGTGTTAGTATATGACTGGTGTCAGTATGTGATTGGTATCAGTACATGACTAGTGTTAGTACATGACTGGTGTTAGTACATGACTGGCATTAGCACATGACTGGTATTAGTATGTGACTGGTGTTAGTACATGACTGGTGTTAGTACATGACTGATGTTGGTGTTAGTACATGTCTGATGTTGGTGTTGGTACATGACTGGTGTTCGTACATGACTGGTGTTAGTACATGGTTGGTGTTAGTACATGACTGGTGTTAGTACATGACTGTTTGTACATGACTGGTATTAGTAAATGACTGGTGTTGGTGTTAATATGTGACTGGTGTTAGTACATGACTGGTGTTAGTACATGACTGTTGTTAGTACGTGACTGGTGTCAGTATGACTGGTGTCAGTACATGACTTGTTGGTAAATGACTAGTGTTAGTACATGACTGGTGTTAATACATGACTGGTGTTAGTATGTGACTGGTGTTAGTACATGACTGGTGTTGGTACATGACTAGTGTTAGTACATGATTGGTATTAGTACATGACTGGTGTTAGTAATTATAAATTAACACGGTTGTAAGTACCAATAGTACACAGCACCTACATAGTAGTAAATGTCTGGAAAAATGTTCTGACATTCAACACCAGTCATCATCAACAACAACAATATTCACTTCACACTCAACACCAGTCATCAACAACAACAACAATATTCACTTCACACTCAACACCAGTCATCAACAACAACAACAATATTCACTTCACACTCAACACCAGTCATCATCAACAACAACAATATTCACTTCACACTCAACACCAGTCATCAACAACAACAACAATATTCACTTCACACTCAACACCAGTCATCATCAACAACAACAATATTCACTTCACACTCAACACCAGTCATCAATAACAGCAACATTCACTTCACACTCAACACCAGTCATCAATAACAGCAACATTCACTTCACACTCAACACCAGTCATCATCAACAACAACAATATTCACTTCACACTCAACACCAGTCATCAACAACAACAACATATTCACTTCACACTCAACACCAGTCATCATCAACAACAACAATATTCACTTCACACTCAACACCAGTCATCAATAACAGCAACATTCACTTCACACTCAACACCATCATCAATAACAGCAACATTCACTTCACACTCAACACCAGTCATCAATAACAGCAACATTCACTTCACACTCAACACCAATCATCAATAACAGCAACATTCACTTCACACTCAACACCAGTCATCAATAACAGCAACATTCACTTCACACTCAACACCAGTCATCAACAACAGCAACATTCACTTCACACTCAACACCAGTCATTAATAACAGCAACATTCACTTCACACTCAACACCAGTCATCAATAACAGCAACATTCACTTCACACTCACACCAGTCATCAACAACAGCAACATTCACTTCACACTCAACACCAGTCATCAATAACAGCAACATTCACTTCACACTCAACACCAGTCATCAATAACATCAACATTCACTTCACACTCAACACCAGTCATCAATAACAGCAACATTCACTTCACACTCAACACCAGTCATCAATAACAGCAACATTCACTTCACACTCAACACCAGTCATCATCAACAACAACAATATTCACTTCACACTCAACACCAGTCATCATCAACAACAACAATATTCACTTCACACTCAACACCAGTCATCAACAACAACAATATTCACTTCACACTCAACACCAGTCATCAATAACAGCAACATTCACTTCACACTCAACACCAGTCATCAATAACAGCAACATTCACTTCACACTCAACACCAGTCATCAACAACATTTATCATAACATAACATCTTCTAAGCCACTAAGTGGGTTTACTATGCCACTCAGTGGGCTTACTAAGGCACTAAGTGGGTTTACTAAGCTGCTAAGTGGGTTTATTAAGCCACTAAGTGGGCTTACTAAGCCAGTAAATGGGCTTACTGAGCCACTAAGCAAGTTTACTAAGCCACTAAGCAGGTTTACTAAGCCACTAAGTGGGTTTACTAAGCCACTAACTGGGTTTACTAAGCCAATAAGTGGGTTTACTAAGCCACTAAGTGGGCTTAGTAAGCCACCGAGTGTTGCCAGCACTGCAACTCAACATTTGCTCACTAATATTTCAACACACTCTTGTTGCAACTCAACTAAAAACTGGGTAGAAAATTACCTAATTTACAGAGTGAAGTTAAAGTTATGTTGGTGACTTTGTTCAACAGTCTGCCTTACCCTCCCAGTTTTGACTTGTTGTACGGCAAGGCAGAGAATATATAGAAAGGAATTTTGTGCGAAGAGAGCAGGACAACACGCTCGTCCCGGACCTGTAGGTCGTGCACCGTCTTCATGAACTTGACCTCCTTGTTGGGTGGTCCAGAGGAGTCAGACACACTGCTGGATAACTTTCTGGTTCGTCCACCACCACCTCCAATACCTACAAGATATATCACAAGTATAAGCAACATTTATATTTGTAATACATGTTAATTTGAGTAAGCTGAAAGATGGACAGGGAGAGGGAGGGAAGGTATGAAAACTAAGGTACGGTCTGTAAACTGAGAGTGTGACACCCGAACATCTCCACCACTGTGTAAGAATGGTATATAATACCGACAAGATGAAATTAAGACACATGTGCAACATCTGGGTATCTTTATTGTAGACGTTCCACCATCCAGTGGCTTTATCAATACAAATTCTAGGACATAACTTGAAGACAGTAGAACTATGTACAGAAGATGAGGTAATCAGTCCCTCAACCTATGGTGCTCTTCGCACCTACTCCTAGGTTGAGGGACTGATTACCTCATCTTCTGTACATAGTTCTACTGTCTTCAAGTTATGTCCTAAATTTGTATTGATAAAGCCACTGGATGGCGGAACGTCTACAATAAAGATACCCAGATGTTGCACATGTGTCTTAATTTCATCTCCACCACTGGGCTTACAAAAGGAGGAAGTTGGGACTAACGCTTACTGTACTGTATTTCATCAGAGGCACCATCTGCAACCAAGTTGAACTTCTTCCTACACCCAGGACCTTTAACAGTAGATTTATTCTTGCCTCTCTCGAGGCCAAATAATACAATAAGGACTAGTTCTAACTCCTTCCTCTTGCAAACTCCAGTGGTGGAGATGCTAGAGCATCGGACAGTCATTTTACAGACTACAGTTTGAACCACAAATCCATCTTTAGGTTTGTTCATTGAAAATTGTTTATTGCAACTAAATCTGAGCTCACAGGGTAATTTGTTGAACTGCATTTAAGTAAAGTTATGTTTGTCTTCTTTTTCAGCTGATAAAATGGATATAAGTCACTTTGACTTTGTTTGGGTCATGCTAGTGGGTAATTTACACACATGTTACTATTTATGATAACTGTACTTACACATACCTGAACCTAAATATACTTACATTAGTATTAGTTTGCCTGAAGTATATTGCATACTAGTTTTATTAAAGTAAATTACATTATTTGTATCGTATAAAGAAAGAAAAACTGTTTTTATTGCATTCTTACCTAAAAGTTAAGGTAGGATGTTTCTGGGATCCATAATGTTGTCAATAAGAATGACTGGTATATAGTGTGTGCTGACCTGGCAAGGTGTACCATGTAAGATCCAGTGTCAGCACTGTGTTATACTGTCAGTTCAGCACTGTTATACTGTCAGTATCACTGCTGTGTTATACTGTCAGTGTCACCACTGTGTTATACTGTCAGTGTCAGCACTGTGTTATACTGTCAGTGTCAGCACTGTTATACTGTCAGTGTAAGCACTGTGTTATACTGTCAGTGTCAGCACTGTGTTATACTGTCAGTGTCAGCACTGTGTTATACTGTCAGTGTCACCACTGTGTTATACTGTCAGTGTCAGCACTGTGTTATACTGTCAGTGTCAGCACTGTTATACTGTCAGTGTAAGCACTGTGTTATACTGTCAGTGTCAGCACTGTGTTATACTGTCAGTGTCACCACTGTGTTATACTGTCATTGACAGCACTATTATACTGTCAGTGTCAGCACTGTGTTATACTATCAGTGTCAGCACTGTATTACACTGTCAGTGTCAGCTCTGTTATACTGTCAGTGTCAGCACTGTGTTATACTGTCAGTGTCAGCACTGTTATACTGTCAGTGTCACCACTGCATTATATTGTCAGTGTCAGCAGTGCATTATACTGTCAGTGTCACAACTGTATTATACTGTCAGTGTCAGCACTGTTACACTGTCAGTGTCACCACTGTATTATACTGTCAGTGACAGCACTATTATACTGCTAGTGTCAGCATTGTGTTATACTGTCATTGTCAGCACTATTATACTGTGTCAGTACTGTGTTATACTGTCATTGTCAGCACTATTATACTGTGTCAGTACTGTGTTATACTGCCAGTTTCAGCACTGTGCTATACTGTCAGTGTCACCACTGTTATACAGTCAGTGTCACCCCTGTGTTACACTGTCAGTGTCAGCTCTGTTATACTGTCAGTGTCAGCACTGTGTTATACTGTCAGTGTCAGCACTGTTATACTGTCAGTGTCAGCAGTGCATTATACTGTCAGTGTCAGCAGTGCATTATACTGTCAGTGTCACAACTGTATTATACTGTCAGTGTCAGCACTGTTACACTGTCAGTGTCACCACTGTATTATACTGTCAGTGACAGCACTATTATTACTGTATTTTGTTATTTATATTATTTACAATTTGCACAATACTGTAGGTACAGTACTGGTAAACTGCATTGCAGCACTTATACTATGCATAGCTTGGGGGGCTTAAATATTTAACTTATGATTAACTTAAGCAACTGTATACAGTCAGTGATAACACATTAATGTAATACAGGTTATATACTGCAGCACCATTGATATATTCAAAAACATCATATGGTTTATGCAGTGTCACTGCAGTAATGATATTCTGTCAGGTAGTGTATTTCATAATAAATTGATTTGGTTCAGTGTAACATTATTATACTATATGTGTAAACCATGTTTATACTTATAAGCTCGTTATTCAGTCATTAACTATGTGTTTACTGTGAGTGAGCATAGTGATCTTTGAGGTCACACTTGCAATTTCATAAACACTGTGTTTACTTTTAGTAGTTACCCCTGTTGAATTAGTTTAGCCTTTTTATGTCATTCATGTGTTACTCCTAGGTGACCATGGACACTTGGAACATCAAAGAGTGATCTGGCCTTGTTTATGTCAGTGTTCTGTAGTTTGCGAGTGTCAGGAGGGTTTATATCAGAGTGTAGAGTGTTTATGTATGTCAATGGTGCATATGTAAGTATGGATGTTTTATGTGTGTCAGCAGGTTTATGTAATTCACCACTTGGTGTATATGTCATGCACCCCTATAGTGAGAATTGTGTTATCTTCACTGCAGCCTTTGTTAGGTCATTAGTGTCTTAGATGTGTTACATGTTGTTGAGCCTTCATGCACAACTTCATAGTGTAGGGTAAACTGGATATGTCAAGTGTCCCACGGTAGTGACTGTGAGCATGTACCTACTTCGATAGTCATGCCTACAGTCTTGGAAATGTCTAGCACTTGTTGATATGTCATGACAATTTTGAGTCTATTATCAAGTGGATTCTAAAAGTTTCCATCTGTTTCTTTGTGTTGGTGAGCCTGTTTATACTTAGTTGAGGGCACTGTTAGCTTCAGTTACCAACTGTGTTAAGTCAGTTATGTCAATGTTCAGTGTAAGTTTATGTAGTTTTCACCAGGTAGTAATTTTTCTGCAATTCGATTTAACTAGTGTTGGTGTAGGTGTGATGGGCTGGTGTGGTGAAGACGTATTAGTTCACCTAAAAAGTGTGGTTGAGTAATGCGAAAGCTTGGGTAGGTTCATTTATCCTATGGGGATAAGAGAAAGTAGGTGCCCCCCAAGGATCACTTCCTGGCTACCATGACTGTAATGCTATGTGAAGAAATTTGCCTACACCCTTTGACATTACACTATTGTGCTTCTGTTGCTGTGTATACTCTGGAACTCCGTTTTGTGCCCTCGTTATACCGATGAGTATTTAATTGTTTCATGTTGACCCTCATGGCCTCCAACTGTGTCAAAAGCCTTTAACTTTATCAATGAAATCCCCGAGTTGGGACTGTCTTGTTTGCACTTTGCATTCTCTAATTTCTAGACGTGTTTAGCATATTGGATTTCTTATGTGCTGAAATCCAGTATTGGCCTGGTAGATGGTATGTTTGAGATAAGGTAGAGAATTCCTTTATGAGATTATCGAAGTATTTTTGAGGGGTATGTAGAGTACTGGGTTGATTGGCCTATAGTTATCCACTGTGTTTGGTCACCACCTGTGGATCGGGGTGAGCCTTGCATTATACTGTAGCAAGGTGTAGGATTCAATGGATTGTGTTATAAGTAGTGTTGCATGTGATTGTGATGTACAGTGTGACACTTTTATTATCTTATACAGGTCAGTCAACGTATACTAAATGTCCTCCTTGTTTTTTAGGGATAGTAAGTCTGGTGATCTTCATGGGTTGCGAGCTTTTCAACCTCTTCTTCGGATGATTATTGGCCGGATGTGAATTTAGTTCATTTGTGTCGGGCAATTGCAGTGGCATTTTATTGGCCAGTTTTTCATCAATTGAGTTTGAAAAAACATCAGTTGTTTCTTTTCAGTTGTAGGAATATTCTATAAATTTTCTTTAAGCATTTTATTTCCTATTAGTGAAGCCTTTTTTGGTTCCTTGAAGTAATTTCTGATGGCTCCAGGGCTTTTTTATATCAACCTAATAAGTTATAATTGTTCTCATATCATTTTTTTTTGACCCTAACTTAAACAGCAGTTTAAATGGTGCAAGGGGAACATTTTGTGTTGACACTCCTCCTTTATTGACCCACTTACGGGTTCTTTGAATATGTGTCTTGGTAACGGAAATGTCATAAGTGGGAGAGGACTGTATACGTACACTACTGATAAACTGTTTAAATATTTTTTAGGGCAAGTGCATTTAAACAATTTCAGGGATTGTTGATACAAAATATTAAATACAGTAGGGCCCACTATGTGGCAGGTTTTAGCTCAGTGCTGCCAGTCAATTTTTGCACTGTGTTGTATATAATATGTAACATGTTACCTCATATTAAGTTAGAAGGAACTAGGTTTAAGCAATAGAAGTAAATACACGATATCAGTGGAAAAAGTCATATGCCTGTGTGTATGCAAAATATATGCTTATTTTTAAAGGTATATTGTTGTTCAATTTTTGGTGTCAGGAAACACTAAATCTCTGTAACTCTCTGTAGTTTTGTTTCTGTTTAGCAACATACAGTTACCATTTTTTGTGAATTCAGTAACGTGTGGTCCTGTCGCAGGAGTTTATATTGAAGTCACCTGAGAGTAGTAAGTGATCTTTGTTCATGCGTGCATCAGTTATCATACTTCCTAGGGTTTTGACTAAATTGGCTAATGTTTGACTGTGGAATCTGTAGATGTTTATCAAAGTGAGAGGTTTTTGTAGGTATTTGGATTTGAATTTGGCTATTATATATTCCCATGTTCATCCCTTGTGCAAGTATTAGTGATACATTCTAGTTGGTCTGAGTAGTATATGCTGTGCCACCCCTTGTTGGTCTGGCCTACAGTTGTGTATGGTGTGTAACCAGGAAAGCATAGAC